CGCTTTCATACTCGTATACTACAGCGTTATATTGATTTACGTACTAGGCAATAAACGACTACATGTATTTACGCAAAGCTACACTACTTCGATGGGTTAGCGTCCATGCATATCCTTGGATATGGTATTTCATGTCGCTTTCCTCCTCCACTCGCACGTAGTATTGCAGGTGCATACCGCGCTCAATCCGCTTTTACTAGTCCGCCAGTACTGACGCTTAACTGGAAGCCGCCCTTGGAACGCATGCACCTCGGTGCTACTACCACGCAAAGTAGAACCGTCATTGAGCCGATTCAAAATAAGTACTAGTCATTTTTTTATTTTTATAAACTCACTGTTAGTGCTAATAATAATAAAAAAACGAAGCGAATTGCAACATATAAATAGACCAAACCATACTTTCGAAACCTTATATGGGCGTTACAGTGTGTCCAGGAATCCGATTACAAAAACCTTTACTCGACTTTCCACTATCTTACTCGCGCACCGGCCAAGTCTTACTCGAATTAAATCCGCACACTTGAGGTATACGTGTTTGCGGATGAGCCGAAGGAGTTGCTGTGAGTGGCCACGTTGATCTCTAGAACCGCTCTGATCTCTAGAACCGCTCTGATCTCATACCGTTCGACAAGATGACTCACTTTTTCAAGATAAGTTTTAGCTTGAAGTAAACCCGAAAGATGAGATAAGAGCAATATTGCGTATCGTAAAGTGTACTTGAAAACACACTGCTATAGCATTCGTTTAGCGCTAATTGTTCAAAAACATTGCTAGCAGTTATGACACCTGAGCTATGACTTTCGGAGGCCTTTCGACAACAACTACTACTTAAGTACAAGAAGTATGATTACTGTTCACCAGTACTGTGTCAATAAAAGTGAACTGATGGATTCCACCCCTGGCACTCAAATGTAGCAATGATGATGCGACATTAGAAATCCGAAATGGTCAAGCTTGTTGGTGACTTTACAGTGAACCACTACTAGGTAGTAGCTAGGCTTTTAAGCTCTCCAGGAACGTTAGCGTACTCGATTTTGCTTGTAATCGCGGCTGGAGAACAATCACTACAAAAAAACTGAAAGCCTTAGTTGGTAGAGGGCGAGGCGGTAGATGGAGATTCAGACGGTTCGGTAATGTTCGTGCAAGGATTACCGCTCTCACAGCTCGTAGTGCAGCACTTGTCAAAGTCCTCGTTGCTTAAATGACCTTTCTTTTATCAAGAAGACAGGAACTTGGGGGAGGGCGCGCCAAAGTGAAAGTGCCGCCCCCGCAGTTCAGACGGATGAAAGCTTCTAGAAGCTTCCACAGCCGTCCTACATCTGCATGTGTATTAATTACTATACTATACCTTTCATA